TATGCCAGTTAGAATGGATTTCTACTGTGTGTGGACAAAAAAAGCTCAGTTACTACAACCACCCTCTACTTCTATCATTTCACACAGGGGCATTTTAGCACCAAACCCTCAGGAAGGTCAGAACCTTTTCAGAAAGGATTCTTTGGTGATAGCTATGTGCCAGAAACTGGTCTGAGTTTTTGAAACACTGTGTTAAGAACAGACAAGAGAGCTGGCCTGGGGCTCTCCTAGAGAGAAGAGGTAGACAATATTATAGAAATACAGCTTACAACAGTGAAACATGGTTTGAAGAAAATTTTAAACAAAAAAAGATAATGAGATAGAGGGGGATAATGGTGGTGGTGCTCTAGAAAAGTCATTAGACAGTAATGTTCTTCTGAGAAGACACTCCATCTGAAATATGGAATGATGAAAGCAAGGCAGCCACGTAGGGTTCAGGCAGAAGCCTAGAAAGGAAAACGGAGGGCGCAGAGCCAAAACCAGGAGTGAGCCACATGGTCACAAGCAACAGTATGAACTTCAGTGTCAGTGGAATCAAGCAACATGTGGAAATGATAAGAAACCTGTCAAAGAGCAAGAAATCTAAATAAAAGTAAAGGCTGGAAGATGGTGCACTAAGAGGGATCAGGTCACATGCAGGATGTAGCAGGTGGTAAAAAGAACCTCAAAAAATAAAAAAAACTACCTCATTACCTTGTCTTCAATTCTCATTTTGCCTTCAACTAGTGATAACTTTAATGGATAGTCACCATCCCAGAGTATTGAAAACAATGCTTAAGCTAGCCAGGAATGGATATTTTCCTAAGCAGAAAATGTTTCTTCCACTATGCCGCATTTTAAAAAAAAAGAAAAGAGGGCTGGAGAAATGCCTCAGCAATTAAGAGCAGTTGCTGCTTTTCCAGAGGACCCACATCCGATGGCTCACAACCACCTGTAACTCTAGTTCTAGGGGATTCAACACCCTCCTCTGGCCCGGAGGCACTGGATGCACATGCCTGCACATGCATTACATTCAGGCACACACATATATACATAAAATTGATAAATCTTTTTTAAAAAGAAAAAGAAAGGAATGAAAGGAAAAGGAATTTTAGGGCAAAAGCAATTATCATCTTAAAGGAAAAAAGAACAATCTAAAATGATAGTAACTACTCCAAATTTTGTCCTGTTCATCATTGTGTAAATGAATTTACTATGAAAATGATGTGAGAAAGGTCTGAGTTACTCTATCAAAATTAAGGACATAAAATGTAAGTTCTCCCTAACCTACTGAAAACAGAGAAGGTAAGAGTCAGACTTCTGAATTCATTATGCGTGGTAAAAATAACCATAAAGGTATAGGTTTTTAACCTTATCTCCAGAAGTTGCTAGAAGACCATCTTCTCTTCTATGTAACAAATTTAGTTAAAAAGAAAGCTCTGCTACCTCCTCCTCTAAAAGGAGACCAATCTGCTTCAAAAGGTTTGGATTTAGTATACTTTGTACAAGAGTGATGATCTCTTCAAATCTTTCCAGACAACTAATATCTTTGTACATTAAGCAAGTATTAAACCTATATTGCTTCTAAGATTAATGCCAGTAAAGTCAGATCTCTGAAAGCTATAATGCATTCATTAATCTTATCTTTCACATTTGCTTAGTTAGGCCACTTAACAGTAGTCCAAAAAGTACACTGTTAATAACAGTCTAAAAGGAGAGACACTTTGTGAGCGTAGTGTGAGTTGGAGAAAAATCATTAAACACGGTGATCAAGACTTGGTTCTGAGTGCATTTTCCTTAGTACACGTTGCAGCAGTTTGGCAAAATGCCCGGGATGATGAGCAGCCAGTGCTTGCAAAGCAGGGATCCTGTCAAGATGCACTGCTGTCTCCCCCTAGTGGTCACACAAAAAACAGCAGAGTGGGAAAACCGCTGCCTCTGCTTTGAAGCTAACCATTCTAAGCAAAACTGATCTTTACAAAAAAATTGTAATGAAATACTAGCACCGTACTAATGGAGAGATGCCTCTCGCTTTAAGATGAAGTATTGTGAATATGAATATTACCTTTGGAAGGAAAGAACCTAACAGTAAAGCAGAGCTACAATAAATTTTCTCTACATAATATTTTAGGGATAATGACAAAATCTCAAAAACAGTTGAGTACTTACCAAATTTGTTCAATCATCCCTAAACTTCAGCATATCCTTTGTAGGTTAATTACACTGACGTGAATTCAAGTTCTGATACAAATTTAGTTACATACCAAATAAAATATGTTGAAAAGAATTTTTACTACTGTTCTTATAGACCTAATTTACAAAGCTCTCTTTAAGTCATCAGTACTCCGTATCACTGTAAATGATTTCAAAACCAATACAAATGGGTCTTCTTGCCTCTCTCTACACTTTCTTGTCGCTTTAATCACCAGAGCGCCTCTGACCAGCTTGAGCACTATACTATTTGCAACTCCCTCAGCAATAATCTGCTGATACTACCCACTTTTAATAAAGTTCTGATGTCCAAACTGTGCAAAGCATTTAATTAAAACATCTGTTGTCTTCTACTAATCATCCATTATTCAGTGGTAAAAAATATAAAGGGATGGTACATATTCAAACAAGCAACTTAATTTTAAAACAGCTTTGTAAAACAGCAACCTAGAGTATCATGATTCTTTCCC